TATAGTCTAATACTGAGAAAAGTCGAAAAATCGTTCAAAGAAAGTCGATTTTCGATTTGCGCTTTAGCCGGAACGTCTAAGCTATTTTTTTCTTATTCAGCGTTGGAAAGTGAATTAGAAAATGGTAAAGGATACATTTCGGAGGTATACCTCCCTTTTGCTATCACTTCGCATTGTTTAAATCTTAGGCATGGAATAAATGACAGTTTCTTTTTGAGTAAGACTTAGTTTTTAGTTTTAGCTAAGGTTTTCCAGAAACTCCTCATTTTTTGTTCCGAACAAAAAATGAGGAGTTTTTCATTCGGAGATTCAGACAGTTGTAGGCTACAGCTGTCTGAATCTTCGACCCTAAAATGTTGCCCGATCTTAGTAAGACATGAACTCTCTGCTATTACGCTTCACGTTATAGCATTTATTTCATATTTGGAATAGTGACTGCTCTTTTCTTTTCTGTTCTACCTGACCTCACTCTGCTTTTCCATCTGTTTCTTTTGTGCTCAATTTTATATATAAACAATTTTGATGTTGGGTGCCTCTGAAAAACCGCTGTAAAACCCTCAAAAACCATCGTAAAACCAATAAATCATAGTGCATTCGAAAGCAGATATATTGGGCTATACAACTAACTATGCATAAATGCCCAAATCGATTTTTTTGTCGAAAAATGCTTTTTTTTGAGGGGGTGGGGGGCTCTTAACAAAGAACATGGAGGGAGCTAGAGCAGTGTCATTTTGTAGAGAACATCTCAGTGTACATTAACGTATATCCTTTTGAAATTCGAGATTTTGGTCATCGAGAAGAGAGCTGGTTACCCTTAAGCACTCCATGAAAAATAATTAATTCGTTCCTGCCACATTATCCGAAAAAAGTTGTATGCGTAAATTTGCAAATCAAAATCAATCATTTTTTATTGGCGAAATGAAAATCTTCTGATTTCATATAGAGTATTCTAAAGTAGCTAAGTTTATTGCTCCTCAGTAACAGAAATGCAGCTATAGCTAAAACCCAGCCAGATTAAATCTGAGAAACTTACCAAATGTCCTTTCACAGGATCATAAAATCTTTCAATTCATTGTACAACCGTACCTCCATATGATTGTTCACTTATTGCGATGTCAATGTTTTCTTCTGTTCCACGAGTTTACTGACGAACAGAGCCTACTTTATTCATCACAGGGTCTAGTCGATACCTATTTAGCTACGATACCAACTAGTCGATACCTATTTTATCAAAACTATTTAGATTTGCTTATATCAGCAGGAGTTAGCCTAAGAAGTACAATTTTGCTTTCTGTTTAAGTGTTTAATAAGAATCAAAATTCAAACTATTAAGATTTTTATTCTTTCACCTTCATGCGCTAAATAATTCCTGAACAGGAATTGTGACAACATTGTCACACAGCGCCATCTTCAACATACCTACTAATGCAATACAGCTGCCTAAAGAAGGAAAAAAAGTATAAGATTTCAGATGCATAGACGACTTGGAGTAAGAGAAAAGGAAGAAAGCGTACACCACTTCCAGTGTCATTTTAAATATTGAAGAATTTCCAAGCTGGGAGTAAAAGTGAGTAATATGGCGTGCACACGACTGGTTCTAATAATTCTTTTGACTCACCTTGCCTAATATCTAACACAAAATTTTTGAGTATTAGCACTTCTGACCTTCTTGGGTAAGCAAAGCCAACTCGATCCAACTTGATTGTTCCCGTAAAATTTTCCTCAAAGAAGCATGTGAAAAACGGTATACTTTAGAAAGTACTGCGTGTGTCAAGACTTACCAATGTTTTTCCATTTGTTGAACTATTGTTAATCGATGATTTTGTATCAAATAAATCTATAAAGCTGTGAGCAACAGAAAATGATTTACCGAATAAAGGAGCCCTGTGAATGGAGAATGCAAACAAAAATGAAGAATAGTTTGATAGTTCTGTTTAGAAACGTCGATCCGTAAATAACCCACATAATTAACGTAGCTTCAATAATTTGTGTTGAAAATACAACAAAGGCAAAAAACTCTAGAATAGACAAAAAGCGGTTAAGGTAGAGAATCTGTAGCGACGAAATTGTAAGTCTTACACTAAGATATTATCCATCTTAATTTTGTTATGATCAATTAAATACAAGGATGAAACAAACATAATCGGCCAGATGAAAAAGATCACGCTTGACTTTATTCCCCGTAAAATACCTGCAATGTGTACCCGTTTAATCAATGATCTAAATGAAGAGAGTCAAAATTATTAGTACCAATTATCGCGACATCGATTTTCTCCCTATCTCAAACAAAAATCAGTAATATAAACCCTTTAATAAGGCAATTAAATCACTCAGCTATGTAAAATAATGTATCTGCGGTCGAAGTGACCATCAAGAGAATTTAAATTGGAAAAAACCGTTGGTTTTTTGTGTTTCTTCCACAAAGTGTTCCTTTCAAGCAGTACATCCAGACAGTCATTTTCAAAATAAAAAACAATTCGTGAATTTCGACAGTGCCCAAAGGGTAAGCCTTCTAGTGAATCCTAAATTCAATGAATGTTTTTCTTTGTTTTGAGGATACGAACAACACTTTTCATATTCCCAACACACACATCCGATTGATTGTGAACTCACTGAAGTAATGTGTTTGTTAGAGCACAATATTTATCACCGAAATATTCTTCTTTTGCTAACTGTACAACGGTATGAATATTTTGTATTATTTCGAATGTAAGCTAGAAGAATTAAGAAGTTATTTGAACAGCCTAAGAACGAAAGATATCATACTGAAAGAGACGACACAGACATCACTCCTTCCTCAAGAATACGTTCTTCATACAATCCGATGGGAAGATCATATACTATCGTACAGGATTGAGTTAACTTTCTGAAAAAAATATTTCAATTTTCAGACATTTCCGCTGCACGAAAAAACTGTATCACAGAGGCTTACAACTTATATATTTCAAAAAGAACTCTGTAGTATTTGTAGAGCAATCCCTAGTGAATGTACCTGAGGTCAAGTACTTAGAAAAGTACTTCGGTAAGTAATGTCCAGAGTTCCTGGAGCTTCTTGCAAGTAAAAGAAGGTACTTCTCAAGTAATTTAACAAGTACAAGTACTAGATAAGCACTTCATCAAGTATTTGGCAAGTAACTGGTAAGTACTTGCGAAATATATGCAAGCATCCGAAGTTTTTCCAAGTACTTGACACATATTAAATCTAAAAATGCTTGACAAGTGCTTAACCAAGTACTTTAGAAAATTTGCAAGCAGCTAAGTACTTGATCTCAAGTGTGTTCACTAGGGATTATTTGTTTATTTTTCTCTCTTTTACCAAACTTTAGATCTAGAGGCAATTTTCAACGTTCATTTGTGAACGAGGTTGTTCACGATATACCGTTGCAAGTTTTTCTGATATTTGTTGATTTTTCTTGTTGAAGTGGCTCCTGATACTGGTTTCCAGGAAACCTAATAAAAACATCATTTCAGTGAAAATAATTACAATAATTGTCAGTTGCCAACTATATACAAATCCAATAGTTATTCCTGTTCCCAAATTGGCAAGGGTTTCAGCAATTGTCCCCATGCGTACACCGACAACCTAAACACTTGTGAAATACAATAAGTAGTGATTACTGAGCACCGTCCGTGCAACCTAATGAAGTTCTTCTCACTTTTCGGTTACAAGCAATTGTTATCGTTCTTACGAGGGAACCGATTTAAGTGTCAAATCGTTTTCAAGCCCTAAATTAATTTCTTATTTCTGTAGCTTCGAGCTGGCAATGAACATTCTCAGAATGTTCTTCATTGACACTATTTCATTACCATTTTATCGCTTAACGGATTCTTACAAATATTGTTCGGTTTATGGTGTTTAGTATAACAAGAATAATCCAAGGTCATCGTAAATTATTCTTATAACACGAATTCATGCACTAACAACTAATCATATATTTATAATAGATGTTGTACTAAACATTTAACATTGCATTCATTAAAAGTATCGTCATTGAAACGATCAAATAAAGAAAAAGAAATTCATGTAAGAAAAGTCGAACTGAAATAATTGAAATATGCCATTCGTTAAAAAAAAACTTTTATTGAAGGATTCGACAATCAACGCAATCAATGAAAAACCATCTAATTTTGATGATTCTAATAAATTGGCATGCGATAATTATTTCTCTCTAACCGATTTGTCAACACCAGAGTCAAAGCTCAACTATAACTTGACGTTTGGATCATTATAGAATACATTTCAAAGTAAAAAGGAGTATCACATTTGAACTCAGTTGAGAAAAACGGTGACTTTTTCTACTTTGTCTATATTATTATTCGCACTGCTCATTTGCATTGCTGAACACAAATATTAATTAAAATTGATAACTTCGAGAATCAAGAATTCTCTCAAATGTAGGGCTGGTAAGGTGTCAGTGGCTTTTCTGGTCATGGGCTTTTAGTGTGTTTAACGAATCCTGGTTTTCTATTCCTATCTTCAGCTTAGGTCTAGTAGCTCATCTTTTTTGCGCTTCCGGATGACATGAGACATGCTTGCTGGTATAGGAAGATATAGTATACTGTCTTGTTTTGCTAACGGAGTTTCAGCAACGTCACAGACTGAAAAATGATCGCATAGTCTATATTCCGTTCGATTTCCAACGTTACATATTAACGTTAATATTAAATAGTGGACAAATTTCGGTATTCTATAGAATAACAGCTGTGCTCTCTTGTGCTTTTGATAACGTTCTCTTATCGTACTTCCGTTCAAGTTTTTCTCTATGTGTCTGTGATACTATAGAATAATAATACATACCATCTTCCTTTTTACTTGTATGTACAGATGTATTCGACGTTAAAGATTTTATTAAATAAAATAATTTAGAAAGAATATTTATCCTTGAGCACTTTTACCTGAAATGTCCTTTCCAACAAGAAATCAACTAGGCAAACAAATATACTGCACAACAAAAACGACAGAGAAGGAAAATAAATTCAATTTCTGAAACAACAGTGCATCATTTGATGAAATTATCGTCTTTCCATTGTCCCCTTTGAACTTGTCCCTTCGTGTTGATAAAAAAACCATATCCTTCTCGTTTATCATCTTTCCATTGCCCCACATATTTATCGCCGTTTGCCCACATAAATACTCCACGACCGTTGAAATCACCATTTCTGAATTCGCCCACATAATGGCTGCCAGATGGATACGTGAACATCCCACGACCATCTACCTTATCGTTTTTAAAATCGCCCATATAACTGTTACCTGAGGAGTACGTAATTATGCCCTGTCCGTTGAAGGTACTGTTTTCAAGTTCTCCCACGTATTTCGCGCCGGATGAAGATGTGTAGATTCCGTGACCATCGAACTTATCGGTTTTCCATTCACCGACGTATGTTGCATTGTTGTCGTACACTATTTGTCCATGACCGTGGCGCAAACCGTTTTTCATTTGTCCTCGATATTTAGAAGTACCGTATATTTTTTCAACAATTTCACCCTCTAGAACATAAACAGAATATAAGCTATAACATGAATATGACCCAGTACAATATTCCTATATTTGCAAGCTATTTTAGGCAGTTCGATTCATACTCTATGAAAAATTACTCGGCGAACGTATAGGGAATAGGAAGAAGAATGTGCAAAGTTGAAAGACAAGAAAAAAAGCAGGTGACGGTAGATGTTTTCTCTGCTTGATTATTTGACGGACAGTGTCATAGAATCATGCACGGCGTTGGTTGTAACAATCGACGTACCTTCAACTTTCTTGGGATACATTGCTTGAATTTCCTGTTGATCAACAAGTGGCAATATTTGCGAGCGTTGTTTTAGTTGATACGTTGGATACATTATCGATTGTTTATTTCTTATATGATCGAGGCCGAGTGCATGGCCTATTTCGTGTACAGCAACTAGAAACAGGTTGATCTCATATTTCGATGTTGAATCGTATCTAGAACGGCAAAATATCCTCTAGACGTGAAAGGAGCTGATAAAAATTCACCATTACTTGATCTACTCACGAGTCTGTCCATGTGTCTTGATAATTAAAATGAATACGTCCATCAGTCGGGGGAAAGGCATGCGCCAGTATTTTTCCATCAAACGGGTGATCATCACCGTGATCACGACTTGTAAACTGTATTACGATGTCTGCCAGACACGTTGAGCAAACTTTAGTGAATTTCAACGATGTGTGTTTCGACCACTCGTTAAAGGCGTCTTGAATGATCTCTTCCTGTTTTGTATGGCTAATCTCCTTACTGTAGGCATACGATTCAATGCGATATTTGAGATCAAATCGAGACCATTTGAACTTAATGATCTGTTGCAAAACAGATTGTCTTGGTTTATCCACCACAGAGCATCGGGGCAGATTCATAATGGCTTTTGTTGACTGATCCAGAGCGCCGGTCACGTTTAAACCAAAATATCTTTGAAATTCTTTGAGTAATTCATTGAAGTTTTCACTACATTTCACGGCCGATGCTGACGAGTCATTACATGAACTATAACCGAATCGCTTTAAATATTCGAAAGCATTGTCTTCCTCATCGTTTCCCAAACATGGGACGATGAGCACAAAGATTATTAACAACATAGATATATTTGACATTTTGTTGTGTCGTTTGCGTGAACTGAAACAAAAGTTGCTTCAGGGTAACATCGGACAAATTATGAGAGATCATGGAAGTCTATAGAACAAAGTTTATCCACGCTTTCTTTCTTATCCCAGTTTATCCTCGTGCAGTTCTTGCCTCGTCACCGCCTGGTCCATCGTCAACTATTGGCAAAGCTTCGCCGACACCTCTTCATCGATCCTCCTGCGTCCGGTGAAGTAAACATTAAGATGTTAATAATAACAAATTGCCGATGACCAATCCTAGACATATATATGTGCAGGAAAACGAAAGAACATTAGCACAACACACAGCGAGCATTTTTTGCTAGAGCAGGCGGACTTTAGCTTTATAAGTGAACTAAAATTTCATGAACCATTTTTTTATAGGTTTTTCATGATCCTCTTTCTAATGGTATGAGAGTTGGGTTTTGAAAAGTTTTCTAAGGAGTTTCCCAGAAATCCGGTCTCTGGAAAACCCTTCAAAAAACTTTCTCAATATTTAGAAACGATGCCACTGGAAAGAGCATTGTCGAAAACCTATAAGAAACATGTTTCGAGTCGTTCAGATTACTTTATCTTGAAATTCATATTTTCAGCACGAAATTGTTTGTGTGAATCTCAAAAAATAAGAAATTTCTAGAATTCAAAATCGAGTGACCGAAACTAGATAAATTATACACCATTCGATGCAGTTTTTCACGCTGATTCCGAATATGGCATTATATTTGAAGGGAAGTGCATTTATAAGCGAGAAAACTATGAAATACCCCGAAAGCCGTATGGATTTTAGAAAATTGATATTTCGACTTTGACGAAAAGTCGCATAAAGTCGCATGCAGTATAAGTAGAGTAGGTGCTGGAGAATATTTTAATATAATTAGAAGGTCGATTTGACTGTAGCGTTTTTTAGCGATTTCATTATACTGAGTTG